GCACAGGGTGCATTGTGTTCTGTTCTCAGATGATTAAAATTTTTTTTAAACTTTCATGAGTTTGACTTTTAACATAAATGATACAACTTTAAAAAAATTGTTTCATAATTTCATACGTATGTGTAGTATACTTTGATCCACCCCCATTATCCTTTTATCACCACTGAAAATACCACCCTGAATATTTCTTTCTAACAAGCCTTTCTCTTCCTTTTTTGTATTTTATTTTTTTAATGGCCTTCTGCATTTAAGTAGAGTTGCTGGCATGAGTGTGGGTAGGGGATTATTGGCTGCAAGGACTGTTTAACCAGTGGCAATACCACTAAGGAATACTCAGCTTTCATTAACTGTCCATACTCCTGATGGGGCCTTATGAGTACCACCCTATCCATGATGGATTGTGATGGGCCACTTCTTGTGTAGGTAGCTACTGTCAGTCTGTTTTCCCCAAGGCTACCTAGCTTACCTCATAGATATGTCTTTGGCTTCTTTCCTCTCTGGGTTGCTTGAGCTGAGGCCACTGGCCCCACTTCTACTTCTCATTGCCTCGTCTTTCTCACTGCATTTCAACTTATGCTGTCCTCTTTGGTGTTTCTTAGTGTTCTTCCCCTCTGTTCAGAATAAAGTCTGTCTTTTGTTACCCTGATCATCTCATTCTTGGAGTTGCCTGTAGACAGCTTCTGCTCCTCCTTCTGACCCAAGAAGTCCCCATTTTCAATTAATTTTAATCTTTCTTACTTTTTTTTTCATTATAGGATTTAAAAAATGTGTCAAACATGGAACTTCACACATGCTAGCTGACTGCTGTGGAAATGAGCTACAGTCCTAGTCCACAGAACATTTTTTTTCCTGTTTTTTTTTTTTTTTCCCTGCCCGAACTAGAGGAGGCAACTTTTAAACTATTTTAAAGCATAAAAGATGAGATGGAAACATGTTTAGATTTTAGTACTGCATGTCCTCAGATGTCCACTGGTTCCTTGCTCCTTTTTATGCTTATAAACTGGCATGTGTATTCTGTCCATTAATAACTGTATACCTTGGCCAAATGCAGTGACCGGTACCTGAAATATACTGTTGTTTATGTTTTAAGTCCCTGTAGTAAGCACATGACATGCCGAGCAACACTTGTATTACATTAATAGTTATCCTAAATAATATAAGTAAAACATAGCTTAAGTTACACCACTGGTAGGGGTTAAGTGTCATTTTATATTTAGTATTTGTTCACTTTTAGTTAGCATTTAAGACAGTTTAACAGCATTCTTACACTGCTTGTTATTTCAGGTGATGTTTGTTATGATAATTAATTTTTCAGTAAGATCAGAAGCAAATTTTTCTTTTCTACTTATACTAACCAGTCCATCAAGAGTATAAGAGTATTTGCTTCTCTGACTCAGAGTACCAGAGGAAAAAGATTTTTTTCCTTTGTGTAGTACATTCTCAGCCCTCATGTGAATTTGTGGGTGACACCTTTGACTTCTCCTTAGAGAAGACTGTGCACCCCTTACATGTGACTCCTCTGTCTTCTTCTCAGAAGACTGTACATCACTTGCATTCACATTGTGAAGGGAGCTCAGACAGCAAAGGGAGGCTCCAAGTTGGCTTATGTGAATGTTGCGTTTTGTCAGTATTTCACTTGGATAAAGGCATGGCAATCAGGGCTATTTATGAAGTGTTTTATCCTTTCCTCAGAATTTCTCTATTGAAGCCTATATCCAAATCCACCTGCTGACTATCTGGAGATAGGGCTTATAGGAGGTAATTAGCATTAAATGAGGAAATATGTGTGGGATGCTAACACCATACAGCTGAACTTCCTTACCCAAAAGAGGAAGAGCATTTGTCTACCATGCCCAAAACCACAATTTGAGCCCCAGAAGAAATTAAAAGAGGAAGGGAGAATTATTTTGTTTTTGCATGGAAAGACACTCTGATTAGGCTGTCAACTGGATGTCAGGAAGGGAGACCTTATGAGGAACTGAACCACCTGCAGCCTTGACTGTTGAATTAACTTACACAACTGTGAAAAAATTTCACTTCATCCATTCTGTATAAGTTTTTATTGCAACCCATGGCAACTAATACAGGGGGAAGAATTAGATTTTGAAGAACAGGAATTTAACCTACACTACTCTGTTGGTATTTGTATGTTAATTTTTTAGGAACTTATTTTTTTGTGGCATATATGTCGAGATCAGAGGACAACTTCTGAGAGTTGGTTCTCCTTCCACCGTATGGGGCCTTGAGATTGAACCCAGGTCATCAGATTTCCTAGTGGGCATCTTTAACCTCTACCCATCTTACCAGTATATAAATTTTTTTTTTTTGTAACAACATTGAAATAAACTGTTTTACATCTAAGAAGAAAATGTACTGACCTAAGGAAAATTAATGATATTGTGATGTAGACTTCATCTATTTATTGTATTTTTTGTGATACATAATTTTGTCCATGAATGTGGTATTTATTTTTTTATAACCTTAATTTATTTTCTTATCTGATAAGTTGGTATATTTTTGTTGCTACAGTAGGCACCTTGAATTTGATATTCTGTTATTGTCTGAACATACTCTTATGTGTGAATATTTTCTGTGATGGCTAATCTTGCTTGCCAACTTGACATACCTGGGAAGAGGGAACTTCAATCGAACAATTGCCTCCATTAGATTGACCTGTGGTCATGTCTGTTGGGAATTCCCTTGGTTGCTGATTGATGTAGGGGTCCCAGCTCACTGTGGGTGGTACCATCATGAGTAGGTGGGTCTGGGCTGTATAAGAAAGGCAGCTGAGTAAGCCAGAGGGAGAGAGCCAGTAGCTGCATTCCTCTGTGGTTTCTGCTTCAGTTCCTGCTTTCAAGTTCCTGCTTGAGCTCTTGACTTGGCATCCCTTGAGGATGGGCTCTATCTAGCCTGAAAGATGTAATAAATTCTTTTCTCCTAAAGTTGGTTTTGGTCAGTGTTTCATTGAAGCATAGAAAGCAGTTAAAACAGTTTCCTTTGCTGTTTATTTAGTCATTACTGGGTATTGAAACCAGGGCCCCATGTGCTAGGAAAGCCCTCTACGACTGAACTACAGCCCCAGCCTTTATGTCACTTGTATAGTGTGTTTATTGAATCCTCCTATTTGGAATAATGTCCAGGGAATTCTCTTGGGATTTTAGGTATATGTTGTAAAGATGATACTCTTTCTTGTGTTTTGTTGGATTTTTCTATACCCTTCATAGAGTGTTAAATACTTTTGTGATTGAGCACAAAAGTTTACCCTCTAGTTGTATGAATATTTTTTTTTGGAAAACATCAAATTTCCATTCACCCAGGTAAAGCACCAATGACAGGTGCAAGAAGCTATTCCACTTAAGTCCCAGTGAGCCAGTGTGCTTATTAGTTAGGGTTACTTCATAGGCACATGGGTAATTCTTAAGCAGTTACACCACTGAAGGGAATGTCTCTCTGCTAACTGTCTATAAATCTTTGAGAGTGGTTGAGGTCTTGTGAATCTTTCTCCTTGTAACCATCAACTGCCTATAAATCAGAGGTCAGATTAGTGATGTAGATGGTCATTTGTTATCTTGGTTCATGTAATTTACATATTTTATAGTATGACATGCCTTTTTTTAAACCTTTTGATTTAGGAAGTGGGTAATATAGTCACTTATGTGTGGATCCTAGCAGTTTTTTTTTTTTTTTTTTTGATTAAGTAAGAAAATACAAGAATGGCCATAACTGCAATTACTATTTTTTAAAGCAGGTTTAATTTTTAAAAATTTTATGTATCTCGGTGTATGGATGTTTTACCTGTGTGTCTGTGTGACATGAGTGTGCTTGTGCCCTTGCACACCATTTGATCCTCTGGATTGTGATTCTAGATGATTGTGTTCCACCATGTGGGTGCTGGGATCAAATTTGGGTCCACTGGAAGAACAGCTGCTAATCCATTTCTCTAGCCTCTGAATAATTACTTATGTATGTAATAGACTACTAACAAGTCGATGAAATTAAATTGTTGAATTACTTAAATGCAAAATCACTGGATAATAAATGATTTGAACATTTACTGGTGTTGTCACTCATTACAATGTGAGAATACTCAGACTGGTATTCTGTATAGTTCTGTTAGCCTATCTTGTGTCTTTTGTGCTGTCATAACTGGACTTGTGTTGCTTCATATTCATGAGAATACATTCATGTAAACATTTAAGAGTTCTGTTGTATGTAAGTAGCAGTGTTTTCTATTTCACTTGTCCTGTTGTACATAGAACATTAACTTTTTAAATACACATCAACAATGTGTTTGTACTTTTGTCTTTGGACTATATCAGGTGCTTTCCTGAGGAGAATGTTATTAATGCTGTTCTTCTTAGTAATAAGGATTGTTCAGCATCTATAAGGGGAACTGTATAATTATATTTTCTTGAATTATACTAAATTCATGTGTAGGTAAAATATTACTTTCTCCCTTGATAATGAATACAGATAAATTTTGTGTTATGTAAGACAGGTATCCATAGAAGGATGAGCACTCAGGCTGAGGAGAAATGTGTCATTACAGGGGTTGGTGTCATTTGAGGATATAGCTGTGGAATTTACCTGGCAGGAGTGGCAGGACCTGAATGAAAGTCAGAGGACCCTCTACAGGGATGTGATGCTGGAGAACTACAGGAACTTACTGTTTTTGGGTGAGTGTAGAATGGAATGTAGACTCTATCAAACTAATTGGCCCCATCATTGGTTGTCTCCTCAAATGAAGGTATTTTCTTTCTTTTCTCTGCCTGACTTAGTGGTTTAACATCTCCCATTTACAGGGCACTGCAAGACCAAACCTGAGTTGATCTTCAATTTGGAGCATAGACTTGGGTCATGGATTGTAGGAGAAGCCTCAGACCAGAGCATTCCAGGTACATCAATGCATACTAATTAGGAGGGTGCTCAGAACTGAACAGATATGGTCACCAAATTTATCCCCATTCCAGATCTAAACATGGCTAATCTTATATATTAGACATTTGTCTAATATACTCTCCAAAGATTTGGCTTTTGTTGTTGTTACTGAAATATGTTCTTTTAGATTTATTATAAATCCATTCCCTATATGGATCTTAGAGAAAGAACATACATAGTTTAGTTTAGGAAAAGTCTAATAAACTGAGTTGTAAGGAAGTAGTTAATGCATTTATTTTATTTAGGTAATTTTCCAAGTTTGCTACATAATATGTAGGTGGCTATCTAACAAAGACTTGATAGTAGTCATGAGTATTAATAGCAGAGATATACAAATTAATAAATGAGTAGCTTAAGGCTAGTATTTAATTATAGTTATTTTGGCAGTTACAGGTGGAATTTGAGAGAATAGCATCAGAGTGTTCCAGAGTAAAGTAATAGATTAAAAGTGCTTTATGATTGTCTGAATAAAGAGAGATAGGGTAATAAAGGAGAAAATATCCAAAGTCTTAAGGGCAGCTGAAAAGAAGAAAAACAAAATTGTAATGCATGAGCATGTACCTACACACATAAACACTCACACGGACACACACACACAGACACACATACACACACCCTACATACCACACACCACACAAAGAGGAGGAAGCCTATAACTATCTCCCTGTGCAGAGGAAAACCAAAAGCCATGAGCATAAGGGAAGCCTGGAACATGTAGGCATCCTTGGGGACAACTAGACACAGGAGAAACCTACAGTTTTCAGAAGGCTTAAATCCAGTTGAACATTCCTTGTCTGAAAATAACTTCTTCATAACAGACTAACATTGGAGAAGAAACCAGTTACATTACTCCCTTTACCTTGAAGTGCTATACTGTTGGGGGACCAGCCCCAACCTTTTTTCCCCCTGGTACTCTTGAGGAGTGAGGGATAAGAGATTAAGATAGAAGGATAGAGGGGAGAGAAAAATACAGAAACACAGGATAGCCTTGGGAGGGCCCAGAACTTTATTCAAAAGGACTTTTTATAACAATGCCAAGGGGTGAGACAAAAGACCTCCCCCTTGCTAGATACAGCTAGATGTAGACCCTTCCAAACACCTGGTACCCAAGCCTGTGGTCCAATCATCTTCTAATGCAGCCCTGCTTTTGAAGCAAGCTCAAATCTCAATAGGAAACCTCTGTGGGCTCCCACAGGTCCCTCTTAATATTTTAAAACTCAAGTGAGGGTACAGAGCTTAATTCTGAATCCACTAGGAGCTTGCAAGTAGCTGGAATTACCACAGCATTACTCCTGCTCCCTAGGGCTGCCACATCTCCCAATAAAGGAGTAGAGGATGATAAAAATGGAATATCCTTGTTGAATGGGTCTCAGATGTCTATAGAAGTCTTAGCTGCACCAAGCACTTTTTTAAATCAATAAACTTCTGATGCAACCACATCAAATAAACTCCAGATGCAACTGCATCAAACTTAAAGACTCCCTTAGCTTCACCAAACATTAACAGGTTAACATAATTCTAACATAAATATTACTGTACATAATTACAGTTCTCTCAAACTTACATCCAAAAGCAAACTCTTAATAGAACCATTAACACTTTAAAGACTTTAGCAAAAATACACTTTAAAGCAATCTCTTAATAGAATCATTTGCATTTCTTGTGAATAAAACATAGGATAAACTTCTGATGCATCCACATCAAAGTTAAATAAGCTCCCTTAGCTTCACCAAACCATGGTGCATCAATATCAACAGATTTACATAATAACTCTAACGTAAATATTACTATACACAATTACAATTCCTACAAACCTACATCCAAAAGCAATACTCTCAATATAATCATTAGCACTTTAAAAAATTTAGCAAAAATCCAAAAGCAGTTTCTTAATAGAACTATACAAAACATAGGGTATATTAACACAATTTAACATCATTCCATTTAAGGGACAAGAAAATATTTTTTTTTAATTAAATTAAATAGGCTGGAATATTAACTTCCCTTTTTCCTTATAGTTTTTTTTTAAGTTGCATTTTGAGCTTGAGAAAAGAAACCCCAAACTTCTCTGTTTAGACAGTTCCATTTTTAACACAAAGCAGTTCATGAATCACCACAGTTAATAGAGCCTATATGTGTAAGTAAAGTCAAAATTGTCCCATTACTATGGCATCACTCCTATCCGTCTCATTTCTTAAGCCTGAGAAGTTCAAAAAATAAATTCTTTTAAATATGAAGAAACCCATAACCAAAATCTTTTTGCAGTTAACAATTCTAGTTCAAACAAGTGTCTCTGAAACTTTCGTTCTTGGCCACAGAGGCATTTTCAGTTACAGCATCAGTTTACGGCCAGTCTTTCTTGAGGAACCTTGCCTCAGGACAAAAGCTATTAACTGGCTGAGGCAGAGTCCTTTCAAAAGATTCTTTTCTTACAACTAGCAAATAGAAACTGCAAGGCTTTTGGCTCCTGGCTTTCACAGCTTTCACTGTCACAATCTGTGCCTCCGGTAAACTGGCAGTTTCCAGGATCCCTGTGTCCTGAGGCCCCGAGGGCTTTCAATCACCTCACACCACTCGGGCTCAAGAGGCTGCCCCTGCTATGATCCGCAACTCTCAGCACACAGGATCCGGGAGGAAACCCAGCCTTGGCCAGTCATGGCTGCTGCACTCTGGCTGCATTACCTGCTTTGTTGGGAGTCCTCCAAGAATGCTGTCCTGCTTGCACAGCTGAATGCTGCCCCCAGGGTGACTCCATGGTTCCAGCCACACCCTACTGCTGGGAGCTCGGGCTGGCCTAGATTCTAGCATCTCTGCCATTCTGCCTGAAGCACAGTTCTCACCTCTACAGCTCCCTGGGCTCTAGCGCATCTTAGCTGCTCATTTGGCTTCGACATCTCTGTTCGGCACTCTCCAGGGTCTACTCTCTCTGCTGCACTCCAAGCTGCTCGCTGTTCACCTTTCTCTCAGTGTGGCATTTCTGCTTGTCTCACCATGGTTTTTTCACCACAGAAAGCTTGCAGAACCTTGCTTGTGCTGGCTCTTGGGCATCTGCCACCTGTGCTGCGCTGATGCTCTGTGGGTCTCAGCTGCAGATGCCTGGCTGTTGCGGCTTGTGCTGGCTCTGGTGTCCGCCATTGTTGGTGGCTTCTGGAGCTTCTGAAGCCGCTCAGACTGCTAAGTTTACAGTCTGCCGTGGATGCTGCTTTCTGCGTTCCAGGTTCTGCTTGTACTCAGAGGTGGAAAAACTACTCTAAGTTTCTACTATACCTAAGTCTTATTCTACCCTAATATACCTAAGCCTAAACAATATCCTTATGCTTATAGCTTATTCTACACTAATATACCTAAGCCTACATTTCTATGACTTACTTATACTAACATTTTAAAACCTAATTTTAGTAGAGATTTGAGAGAAGAGAAAAAGAGAAACTTCGAAAGAGATATACGCTGCAGCCTCACTTGGGTATCTTTCAGCCACTTTACTTTCACTCTCGAGAATAACATACTGTCACCTTTATTTTTTCAATTCCTTATCATCATGCCTTCTTATACCCTCGACGCCCCCTCTACTTTTGCCAAGTCCGTGGTCCCTGTTTAGGCACCATTTGTGGGGGACCTGTCCATATCTTTTCCCCCAGGTTACTCTTGAGTGAGGGATAAGAGATTCAGATAGAAGGATAGTGGAAAGAGAAAAAAAGAAACACAAGATAGCCTCAGGAGGGCCTGGATCCTTATCCACTGCCTTTTCATAACAGTGCCATGGAGTGAGGCAAAAGACCTCCCCCTTGTTAGATATTGCCAAGTGTAGACCCTTCCAAACACCTGATATCCAGGTCTGTGATCTAATCATCCTCTTAAGCAGTCCTGCTGGTAAAGCAAGCTCAGATCTCACTAGGAAACCTTTGTGGGCTCCTACACTATATGCAGACTCCAGCTTGAAAGGGGAACTTGAGAGGGCACTCATTCAGTTTTTGAGACTGAGCTATACTGTAGACATGAAATCAAATAATCACAAATCACAGAGAATGTAGACATGCTATCACCATTATTAATTTAGCATACCAGAAGACCTTTTAAGATAAAGATTTAGTGTGTGTCTTCCAATAAGAATCCTAAATATAATTGCTTTTAACTTTAAAGCAGATGGCCAGAATGGAATAACAACTAAGATCTTGTTGTTTGCTGTCTGCAGCATCTCCTCACTGGCAGAGGTACATATGGATTTAAAATGTGAGCAATGTTTCTTGAAACAAACAATGTAAAAGGACTCATAAGTAGCTCTACTCACATGAGTAAGCCAATTTCATGCCTAATTAGCTTAGAAGGCATAAAGAAGTTTACTGAATATTCATAAAGGGACCAATCCATTAAAATATAATTATTCCAAATGTTTATGCACTGAATATTGATGTTGAGTTCCATAAAAATATTTCTAGATACAAAGGAAGACAGAAGTTCTGGATAGAGCAGTAATGAGTGACTTCAGCATTCTAGAATTGTATAATATGCCAATAAATAACAAATCTGAACTAGACAACATCCACTTTCATGAGTGAAGTACATACTGGAGTTGAGTGACTAAAATAGTCTACTATCATGAATGGATAACTCAGGAACAAGATTTAGTAGAACCACTTCATAGTTAACAGTGCTTCAGTGTGACTAAAGAGACATCTATAGTGTATACTGTCTCAGTGTCTGTGAAATATACTTCTGAGCTTTCTCTAAAAGAAATCAAATTTGAGGTCATAAAGCAAGCCCTAATGAACAGATAACACTGGAAATAATTTGTTGTATCTTTTAAAAGTAAAAACTGAGAATGCTGAAAACCAATAGCCAGAGAAAATAAACTAAATAAATATGTGGCTGAATACAGTTTTGAATGATCAGTGACTTGTAAAACAGATGGGGGTTAAGTTTTCTAGAATGAAGTAAACTCAAAAAAGTAGAATGAGCCGGGCGGTGGTGGCGCACGCCTTTAATCCCAGCACTTGGGAGGCAGAGCCAGGCGGATCTCTGTGAGTTCGAGGCCAGCCTGGGCTACCAAGTGAGTTCCAGGAAAGGCGCAAAGCTACACAGAGAAACCCTGTCTCGAAAAACCAAAAAAAAAAAAAAAAAGTAGAATGAGGAGTATCTGGAAGGAGGAAGAGAACCTACAGCTCTGGGCAGAGAAAGGTAGACATGAATTTTACCAGAGTACATTGTGTACATATATAGAAGGAAGACCATGAAATCCCTTTGGGTGTGAATAGCATAAAAACAACATAATATACCTTAGTTTGTACAATTAATATATGTTAAATTTAGAAGTCACATATGACACTGAGTTAGATAAAGGAAAATGGGTATCATTTTGGTAAACAATATATTTTCCTAGTTTTTTCATTTTTGATAAAATGATTAAAAAGCAAATAGATGGCTAAAGCGTAATAGGAATTTTTTTTTGGGGGGGCATTTATCCTCTAGTGGGAAGGAAGACATGTGCATATTAATTTTTATTAATGTCATTTCAGATTCCCAGGAAATGAATACCCTGACCAAGTTCTGTTCAGAAACCAAAGCAAGAAATGTGTGGCAAGTTGTATTTGACCGTGATACATCAAAGGAGTTGACTAGAGTAGGGAAGGCATTCAATGTGAGTGCAAACCATGTTTCAAATGAGAATATAAAGAATGAGAACCCACTAGGAATGAGTCCTAGAAAGCTTATTCTGTGGAAGAATGTGTATATTCATAGTGATGCTGATGAGCTAGAAGTTGGAGAAGAACCTGATGATCTTATTGGAACTGTAAAATCCATCAAATATCCAGAGCATGTTAGTCTCTACAAGTCTCAAAGTTCACAAAGTTATTTTCGAAGTCTTATACCAGGGAAATCTTTCAACACAAAAGCAGTGTTACTGACTCATAAGTTCAGTGAATATGCAAAATCTTTAGGTGATACAGCATTTATTGGCAAAGAGATGGCTCAGATAAGGGAGAAATCTTTTGAATGTGATATATCAGAGATAAAATGTAACAAGTCTGACCTTGATGAAAATGAGCAAATACACTTTGGAGAGAAACATTTCAAATGTAGTGACTTTGAGAACCCTTTCATTACTGAATCATATCTTCTAAAACATAAGGGACAACATGCAGGAGAAAAGCTCTTTGTTCAGGAGGAATATGAGTTTTCTCAGCAGTCAGAAGAGAGTCTCCATCAGAAAATCCACAGAGGGAAAAAGTCCTATGAATGTAAAATATGTGGAAAGTGCTTTCATTGGAAAACGAGCTTCAACAGACATCATAGTACTCACACTGGTGAGAAGCCCTATGAATGTAAGGAATGTAGGAAAGCTTTCTGCCAAAAGTCACACCTCACTCAGCATCAGAGAGTTCATACAGGTGAGAGACCATATATATGTCTAGAATGCAGGAAAGCTTTCTATCGTAAGTCAGAGCTCACTGACCATCAGAGAATTCATACAGGCGAGAAGCCGTATGAATGTAAGGAATGTGGGAAAGCTTTTTGCCAAAAGCCCCAACTCACTCTACATCAGAGAATTCATACAGGTGAAAAGCCCTATGAGTGTGCAGAATGTGGGAAAGCCTTTTCCACCAAGTCCTATTTAACTGTACATCAGAGAACTCACACAGGTGAGAAACCTTATGAATGTACAGTATGCAGGAAGTCGTTTATTTGTAAGTCGAGTTTCAGTCATCATTGGAGAACTCATACTGGTGAAAAACCCTATGAATGCAAGCAATGTATGAAGACGTTCTACCGCAAGTCAGGCCTGACTCGACACCAGAGAACTCACACAGGTGACAAACCCTATGAATGTCAATTATGTGAGAAAGCTTTTTATTGCACTTCACACCTCACTGTACACCAGAGAACTCATACAGGTGAGAAACCCTATGAATGTAAAGAATGTAGGAAATCTTTCTATGATAAGTCAAATCTTAGACGACATCAGAAGATTCATACTATGGAGAAAGCCTGTGAATGCAAACAGTGCAATAAATCTTTGCTGAGTAACACATCTCAACATCAGACAATGTACTATGAATATGAAGAGTGCAAGAAAGCTTTCCAACATAAAATAAACTTTACTTAAACATGTAACACTTCTTATAGGTAAGGGAACCTGTGAATGTAAAGAACATTGGGAAACATTTACCCACAAGTCAGATCTTACTGTACATAGGAGTACCCACATGAGAGATTAAACTGTATGAATAAACAGTGAAAGAAAACTTTGATTTATGCTTGTTTATCAGAGAACTCACAATTGACTATGGCAAGTAATTTTGCTAGGTACATAAAAGTGATGGCTTTTAAACCAACATAAACAGATGTTTATGGTGGAGGGTCACTTGTACTCAGGCAACAGAGGAAGACACCATGGCTTAAAAGAAAACTGGGCAAAATTTTCTACTTGAGGTTTTCCTGACATGATATCAGAGCTCAATGGTGTGAAACCAATGAAAATGAAGAACTGCCTCAAGCTCTGAATAGAATTTGCAACTGATTAATGTGTGTGTTGGTGCATGCTTGTATTCTCAATACTTGGGAGGTCAAGGAAAGAAGATCAAGAGTTATAGTTCTTGGCTACAGAGCGAGTTCACTCCCAGCCTGTGTTACATGGGACCTTAAGAACAAAAAAACAAATAATTAAAAATACAAGAATTTGAGAATCTAATGGCTTCACAAACTCTATAACTGACAAAGGACAAAAATACAATTACATACCTTAATGCCATTTGAATCAAATATGCTATAGGAGTCCTAGTCATGTAAGTTTTGTAGAAACGTGGAACTTTGTGGAAATCATGTTACTGGACATCACTTCACTCATAAAAGTGAGCCCACTTGAATTTAAGCAGTTAGGAGGGCTGTGGATGTAGTTGAGTGGCAGAGTGCTTGATCAATATAAATGTTGCCTTTCATATAGATTACCTGTTACCACCTTAAAAGTTTTGTTATATTTATATGTGCATACATTCCATATCATATATGTCAGGGTCAGAGGACAAACTCTCCAAAGTTAATTCCCTCCTACCTGGTGGGTTCTTCATATCAAACTTAGGTTGTCAGACTTGGCAGCAAGTGTCTTTAGCCTCCGTCTGAGCCATCTACTGCCCTTGTATTTTATACTCATTAATTTTTGTAAAATAAGCAGTTCTGGAGTTATTTCAGTCAGTTCAGAATTCTTTAATGGGTAAGGACATTTCTTTGATCATTTTAAGTGAAGTTTCCCCAACTTTTCAATTTGGAGATAAGGTCTTGCTACAAACACCCTGGTTGATATCAAAGTCCTGTTCTTACCTGTGAATGCTTTGATTACATGTATATGCTACTGTGCCCAGCATAAAATTTTAAGGCTTAAAAAAAATTAAGAACGAACACTTCTGGAGCTTTTTTTGGCTGCTGTCTGTATGGTCTAAATGTTCCATCACTGTGTTACAAAAACGTTGAACAAATGAAAGATTTGATTTCACAGCACGGTGAAAGGATGCCAAATCTGTCAAGATCCAGAAGAATGCAGGTCATGTGAAGTTCAAAGTTCACTGCAGCAGAAACCTATGCCTTGATCATCACAGACAAGCAGAAGTCAGGGAAGCTGAATCAGATAATGAAGGAGCTGAAATAAAACACACCCTCATTTGGATTGTATTAAAATCCTACAATGTAAAAAATCTGTTCGTATAACTTGAGTGTTAATTGGAAGTAATAAGTTATTTAAAAAATTATTTCAAATTGTGTTTAGTTGTGTACAAATAAGCAGGGTGGTCATCTTCAGTCAGCATAAACTGGTCTCCAACCTGGGACACTTGTGGTTGACATAAATGAAAGTTAATAGTTAATACTCAAATCTAGTGAACAGGCTTGAACCACATCTCAAATATAATTATGTTCTATATTATATATTTTTTTTAGAAATCTGAATTGAGTGCACTCAGAATAAGTACAGAGAATTTGTTACATGTGTAACAAATACATTGGGAGACTACTTAAGAGGTAGGGTGCATGCCCTTTTATGTTTGTAGTTCTGATTGCAATTTCAGACATAAGTATTAAGATGCTGTGGTTGTATTAGTTAACTTGGTTTTACTGTGGGCAACCATCTGATAGAACCAATTTAAGGCTGTACATACTTATTTATTCATATAGTCAAGTTACTTGACCCCCCTGACCATGAGCAGATCATGGTTGTCAGAAGCGCTTTTTATTTAACTTCTAGATAGGAAACAGCAAAGAAGTGGCTGAATATCAGGTTTATTCTTTAATTACGTTTAACAGTGACATACATTTAAGATGAAAATAGTCCTTCCTGAAGTTTATATCACTTCTAAATCATTGCCACAATCTGAGACCCAAGCATCCAACACAAGCCTTTGTGCAACATTTCAGATTCAAATCAGAATATACAGTTTTCATATTAAACAACTATCCCATTCATATTTTGTTAAGTATATTCATGTTCATATAGAGTTGTATGGGTTGTTTTATAAAACTATTTCGATTGAATAGAAGCACTATCCACTGCCCCAAGAAGGTGACTGGTAATGTTTTTACAATGTTTAACCAACATATCAGCAATTAATGTTGAAATGTAGAAATCTGATACACAACTGTTTATAGTTGATATCTGAATTAAAGCACTTTTGGTCAACAATTCTTGTTTCATTTTTCATTTTTTTTAACATTTTTAGTTAAGATAATTATATCACATATCCCACTATCCTTTCCTTCCTCCAGGCCCTCCCTCCAATGTTCCCTCCCTCAAGTGATAGCCTCTTTCATTATTATAGTTACATGTATAGCTACAAATATATGAATACAGCCCACTGGGTTAATTTTTTTTTTTTTTTTTTTTTTTTTGTGTGTGTGTGTGTGTGTGTATGTGGTTTCAGGGCTGACTACTTTCTAGTAAAAAAACAGTCGTGAATCCTATTGAACTCTTGTAAAGAGTAAAGACCACTAACCCAAATTTTTTGGTTGAATTAAGCAAGCTTTATTTTCTGTCAGAGCTATCTCCCTAAAGCAGGGTTTAAGAGAATAGCACAGAATATAGGATAAGTTTTTTTTATAGTCCCCAAACTGCAAGGCTAGGGGGTTTCCAAGTGATTTTTAGTTGTGTAGGAACTTGGCAGAACATCTACATTTGGTAGAGCATCTTATCAGTAAAAGTCAGGGTATAGGGTGTAGAACATGTCAAATTCCAGAAAATGGGTAAAGACATGGTCCAACTTAAGTTTTACAGAAAACAGGAATGAACTTATTTTTTACCATGTAACAAGGTGCTTCTAATCTTAAGAAAAGTCAGGTTGGTCTATCATTCCCCCATTGTCTTATGGGTTCCTTTCAAGTCCTTGCTTGAAAAGGGAATAGTCATTTCTATCTATTGTACGGGCTGATGGTGCCAGCAGAGGACAAGTATCTTAATATTTTTATTTGGCAGGAGATGGAATTTGTAGCACTTTGGAATACAGAAGTCCTTGATTGTGAGCATTATGAGTATTAGGAGCCTGCAGCAGCTGAAGCAAGAGTAGTCCCAGGGGGACCAGTTGAACAGGGATTGGTACCCATTGTTTCCGTCTTGTTGGTTTGAGATTGGTTTTTGTTCTATATAGAGCATGTCGAGTATTCTTTCATATTATAAAACTGCTTTAGCTAATAAATTGGTAGATCTTGATCTATTTGATTTTAACATTACCTTTTTGACAATGAGGAACCTGGTATGCCAATAGGTGTTATATGTAGCCATTTCTTTCTCTTTGCCAGGGAGTTTCTAGCCTTTTTTGAAGGCTTTGTTGTTTGTTATACTGATTAGGTCACTGTCTTGCTGCTTCATAAAATGAATTTAGTGTTTGGTGCTCATAGCTGTGGCCCTAATTGTTTAGCTTATTTTAGTTTTGGGTAATAGTGCTGTCTGTGGCTGAGTTTTCCAACCTGAATTGTATTTCCATCATGGAGTCAGTTGTGCTAAGTTTTGGAGGCCTGGTAAGGTTTGGGGCGTCTGTTCTATCACTCAAGAGAGAAGAAAGAGGGCACAATCATAATCTGGACAAGGGAAGACCAAACTTCAACAGTATAAACAATTCAATATGTAGGACTTATTCATGATCCTCTGGGTTTCTCCAAGAGGTCCAGGTCACTTGTCTGGTTTTGCCCTTGGCAGCATATATAGCCTGTCCCATAGAATCTAGCTGGCTGCACCTCATTGTGACTGCTGTTCTTGGTGGCCATAATTTGGCATTGGCATCTCTAAAATTGGTGGGGTCCCTTATTGCAACTGGGCTGCATTTTTGTTATCAGCTTCTCCTGGGATATTTTAGGAAATTAAATCCTGTCATATAGTGCCAAGCTTCAGTGGCCCTCCATGATGCTTTCATGTCTTTAAAACCAGTACCATCTGGGTGACTCATATTACAACGTTTGACTGCCAGAAAAAGGTAAATTTTTATATATAAGTACATGGAGGTTCAGCTTTAATATTTTATTAAACAAGTATTGTTTAATTTGGACAGAGGTAGCTAAACTGGTTAGTTGAAAGATTATAGGAACTTGGTGTTGGACCTGTCCTTGGAGATTGGTTTCTTCAATACCCCCAAACCCAACCCCAAGAATCTTTATTATATAGTCCAACCATATCTTTTAATTGGGGACAGGATTTTCAGCTAGGAGATATTCTTCTGTCATAGAGTAACAAGATTAAGTGGCTTACCAACGTAGGACAGAAAATTAAGAAAAAAAACATGCTTGAGTCTAGAGGTGAGGAGAAGCCATATCCAATTCTAGAGCAAGACTTAAGTCCACTTAAACAATTCTTACCACCAAGTTTTAAGTGCTCCTATTTCACCCTTAGGGATATCTTGCCATGCTGGCCATCACTATGGCTCATGAGCATCACAATTGGATAGGACTAATAATTGCTTCCCTCCTTTGGCAGTTTGCATAGTACTTTCTGGTACTGTGGAAGGTGGATTGCAGGGAGAAAGTTTTCAAGTTAGATCCAAGTTAAATAATCTGAGTCTTGTGTCCTAAGCATGCTCAACAGGAGGGAAATCACACCTGGTACTAGAAATCTAGCTAACTACCTAGGGCTAGAGACCTTAGAAGAGAATCTATTGCTGCTACTTTGCTAGACCAATATAATTCAACTAATCTGCTTAATGAAATGCAGTCTCTGTAATTATTTTCCTTTTGTTCCTATTCCCATCTCTAAATAGGATAGAAAGGAAAATAGTACCATATGATATAAATTTCGTATAGCTAATGAGCATACACTGCTTGAGTGTGCTTGCCAGTAACTTAAGAAAACAATCATGCTCTCTCCCACCCAGAGAGTTCCTGCCACTAGAACCCAGGCCCTGGGACACAGCCAATTCCCGGGAACCACCACCCAACTCTGCCCCAGTTGCCGGCCAGCAGGGAAAACTCCTGCAGGAAGCCCCCCCCCCCAAACAAAACCTCCCATCAGACCGGTCCTGCAATCTACAAGTTCCATGCCCTGCCCCACTATCCATCTGCCTGTGACCCCAGTAACTTCCTGAGACGTGGAAACTAAACTGCCAGCTCTAATTGGACCAAGAGCTCTCACTGGACCAAGAGTAACTTGCTGAGACAGGGAATCTGCCAGCCTTCATTGGACTAAGAGTGGCTTTCTGAGACACAGAATCTGTCAGCTTGTATTGGACCAAGAGAGGCTTCCTGAGACACAGAATCAGCTAGCTTGGATTTGGGCCAAGAGCAGCTCCGAGATACAGAATCTGCCAGCTCCAATTAGACCAAGAGCTAAGATTGGACCCAGAGGGGCCCCCTGAGACACAGATACAACAAGCACAGAGTGGACCAATAGCAACTTGCTCAGACACAGGCACCTCTTACACCTATTAGAGGAGGAGATGGACAGACATCAATGCAAAAATACATACAACAACATAAAGAGCAATATGGCATCACCAGAATCTAGTCCTCCTCCAACAGCAAGACCTGAACATCACAATGTAGAAGAAGCAGAAGAAAGCAACCTTTAAAATAGCTTCATGAAGATGCTATAAACCTTTCAAGAAAAAAATGAAAAATGAAATTGAGGAAAAGACAAACAAAAAAGTGGAAGAAAACAATAAAGAAATTGAGGAAAAGACAAACAAAAAATTGGAAGAAATCAATAAATCCCTTAAAGAAAGCCAAGAAAACCAGAAAAAGCAATTAAACATGTGAGGGAAACAGTTCAAGACCTGAAAAAGGAAATAGAAATGAAGAAGGCACAAAGTGCTAGAAATAGAAAATTGAATAAATGAACAGGAAACACAGATGCAAGTATAACCAACAGAATACAAGGGATGGAAGAGAGAATCTCTGGTGTAGAGGATACAATAGAGAAAATAGACTCATCAGTCAAACAAAACACCAAAGCCAAAAAAGTCATAACACAAAATGTCCAGGAAATCTGGGACACCATGAAAGGGCCAAACCTAAGAATAATAGGGATAGAGGAAGGAGAATACCAACTCAAAGGCACAGAAAATATATTCAACAAGATCATAGAAGAAAACTTTACCAATTTAAAGAGGGAAATACCTATGAAGATACAAGAAGTCTATAGAACACCAAACAGACTAGACCCCCCCAAGTCCCCTCACCACATAATAATCAAACCACTAAACATACAGAATAAAGAAAGAATATTAAGAGTAGCAAAGGAAAAAGGCCAAGTGACTTATAAAGGCAGACCCATCAGAATAACACCTGACTTCCCAATGGAGATTTTGAAGCCAGAAGGACCTGGACAGATGTAATGCAGACACTAAGAGACCAAGGATGCCAGCCTAGACTAATATACTCAACAAAACTTTCAACCACCATAGATGGAGTGAACAAGACATTCCAAGACAAAACCAGATTTAAACAATACCTATCCACAAATCCAGCCCTACAGAAAGCACTAGAAGGAAAATTCCAACCTAAGGAAGTCAGATGTACCCATGAAAACACTTTCTATCCTTACTTATATTACTAACAGAGAATTATCTTATAATGTCTTTCAAATTTATATACTTTACACCTCTTAGTGAGTTTCTTTTCTGAAATTCTTAACAAGGAAAACTATATCTATGACTAATCTTCCACTCACTATAACTGTAACTATCTAATCTTCAGCTCACTATAACTATAACTATCTAATCTTCAACTCCCTCAGAGAACCTAGAAGGAAATAATATTACCAAAAAACCCCCCAAACCCAAAAAACAAAACAAAACAAAGCAAAAAACAACAACAAAAAAAGCATAGGAAGTGCACACAAGCGGCTTCCAAAAAAATTGTGAGTTGACAGAAACAGCCAGCTGTCTCGACAGTCACCTAAGGTTTCTCCGCAATGTTGGGGCATCATTTTCCACCTATAGGCTTAGCGTATCTGACAGGTTCATTTGTGAAGTAAGATGTACAACAGGCCTACAGTTTGAGCTCATATTCGGTGAGAGTAGTTCATGTACCAGAGTCACCTGAATTCCACTAGTGTCCTATCATGATTCAGGATTTTAAATTCTGGAAATTCTTGATGTTTTTTAAATTCAGCTGTCCATTCTTCTTGGCTTGTGGGTGGCTTCATCTTGTATCCTGTTCTTCTCTGCATCCCATTCTTCTTGGCTTGTGGGTGGCTTCATCTCT